CTCTCTCATTAGGGAATACATCGATGTTTTCGCCTGGAATTACAAGGATATGCCAGGACTCGATCCAAACGTGGCAATGCATCGCCTCAATATTAAACCGGATGTCAAACCCGTCAAACAACAACAAAGACGGTTTCGTCCGCAAATTATGGAGGCAATCGAGTCCGAAGTTAAAAAACTTATCGACTCGGGCTTCGTCAGGGAGGAGCAACATCCCGAATGGCTTGCCAATATTATCTCGGTCCTTAAGAAGAACGGGAAAATTTAGATTTGTATCGACTTCAGAGATCTTAATACTACCTACCCAAAAGACGATTTCCCTCTTCCCATCACAGATGATTTGTATCGACTTCAGAGATCTTAATACTACCTACCCAAAAGACGATTTCCCTCTTCCCATCACAGATGTTATCATCGACAATACGTGTGGATTCGAGAGAATGTCTTTTATGGATGGATTTTCTGGTTATAATCAGATAAAGATGCATCCAGATGATGAAAAACCCACCGCATTTTGAACACTCCTTGGTGTTTTCTGCTACACGGTTATGTCATTCGGCTTAAAGAATGCAGGTGCCACATATCAGAGAGCTATGTCAAAAAAATTTCAGGAGCATCTCCGGAAGACTGTCGAATGCTATGTGGACGATCTGGTCGTGAAAAGTCGTGACAAGAATGATCACATCAAAGACTTGAAAACGATGTTCGACCTGATGCAGACTCATCAATTGAAGATGAATCCTACCAAATCTTTCCTCGGAATGTCCAGCGGCAAATTCCTTGGATTCGTCGTTACCACCAAAGGTATCAATATCGACCCTGATAAAGTGAAAGCAATTAACGAATTGAAACCCCCGAGAAACCTTAAGGAACTCAGAGGATTACAAGGTCGGCTAGCTTATATCCGTCGATTCATCTCAAACCTTTCGGGGAAATGTCAACCATTCTCCAGGCTTACAAAGAAAGGCGCATCATTTATATGGGATGACACTTGTTAAAAAGCGTTCGAAGATATAAAAGAATATCTCTCAAAACCTCCAGTGCTCGTTGCACTGAAGTCAGGCAAACCGTTCTTGATTTATGTCAAGGCGACGAGTCATTCGTTAAGTGCATTACTTACACAAGACGATGATAACGGTCACGAACAGGCAGTATATTATTTGAGTCGGACCCTCGTAGGTGCCGAATCTCGATATCCAATGATTGAAAGATAATGTCTCGCCTTAGTATTCGCTATTCAGAAGATGCGACACTACTTGGTCGGACAGACTATCTACGTCATCTCCAATGTTAACCCAGTCATAATATTCATGACACAGCCTGCTTTCATGAATTGGCGGTTAGAAAATTAGGCTTTACTTCTGTCCCAATATGACCTATATTTTAAACAACAAAAGTTGGTCAAGGGACAAGCTATTTGTGATCTCTTGGCAGCTAATCCAACTACGGATACCGCCGAGGTATACGACGATCTGCCAGATAAAACCCACGAAGCTAACGTAACTTCCCATCAAAAGGTGTGGCGTTTGTACTTCGACGGTGCCTCTCGGGCAACTAATGTAGCAAGTGCTCCTAGATGTTCTAAGATTTCCTCCGGAGTTGGAGTTGTCTTAGTTTCCCCTGAAAAACATGTGATGCCTAGAGCCTGCTCGCTGACCGAGCCGTGCTCAAACAACGTAACCGAATATAACGCGCTGCTTATTGGACTCAGCTTTGCTAAAGAGCTGGGGGTCGAGTATCTCGAAGCTTTCGGTGATTCTCAACTAGTAGTTAAACAAGTTCAAGGAGAATATGAGGTCAGAAATCAAGACTTGATACCATACTATAAGGTGGCCGTTGAGATGGCAGAATTGTTTGAAGGGTTCTTCATCAAATACATTCCACATTTATAAAACGCGTACGCAGATGCGCTGGCAGCATTAGCCGTGTCCCTGGCGCAGCCTCCCGAAACGGAACAGTTCGTTACGGTGAGAACTCATCAACTCTTCGTACCAATCTACGATATAGATGACAAGGAAGAGGATATTAAAGAATTGCATTCAACTCAAGTTGAGTTCGAACCCCGAGATTAGCGTTTCCCTATCATCGATTACGTCTTGCATGAAATCTTACCAGAAGATGTGAAGGAAAGGGACTCAATCCGACGAAGAGCACTGAGATTCTACTATAACACGGAGAGTCGAACGCTATATCGTCGGGGGTATGATGGTTTACTACTACGTTGTCTATCCACTAAAGAGGCAGAAGAAGTCCTTAGGGAGACGCACGAAGGGGTTTATGGTGCACACCAACCTAACCCCAAACTTTATGACCGCATCAGAAGAATGAGATATTTTTGGCCCACCATGATCAAAGATGCAGTCGCATATGCCCGAAAGTGTCACACGTGTCAAGTGCACGTGAATTATATGCACCAACGCCGGAGCATCTGCATCCTTCGGCTACATCATGGCCTTTTGAGACTTGGGGAATGGATGTTGTTGGTCCTATAAATCCCCCGCCAGTCAAAGGTGATCGATTCATTCTAGCAATTACCAATTATTTCTCCAAATGGGCTGAAGCGATTCCGTTCAAAGAAATGAAGACAAACAACGTCGTTGCATTCATTAAGCACCACATTATCTACCGGTATGGTGTCCTGTGGCGAATCATACATGATAATGGTCCTCAGTTTGTCAGTAATGCATTCATCAAATTTTACGAGAAGTTTAAAATCCAAGACATCTCGTCAACAGCTTACAATCCCACAACAAACGGATTAGCTGAAGCCTTTAACAAGACTATCATCAAGCTTTTATCAAAACTCACGAAGACTAATAAACGAGATTGAAATGATGAACTTGGCAAAGCGCTATGGGCCTACCCTACCACAATTCGCACGCCTACTGGCGTAACCCCGTATTCTTTGGTATACGGGTGTGAAGCAGTCCTTCCATTAGAAATTCAAATTCCATCTCTTCAAATCGCTCTCGCAACCCAGATGACGACCGAAGAGCAACATCAGAAACGTCTCGAAGAACTCGAAATGCTCGACGAGAAACGTTTGGAAGCTCAGTAACACATTGAGTTCTACCAAGCCAGAATTTCCCGAGCATTTGATAAAAAGGTTCGTCAACGGAGCTTTAAAGAAGGGGACTTGGTCTTAACTGTCCGACGGCCAATGATCATTAATTCCAAGAAGAAGGGCAAGTTCGAGCCCAAATGAGAAGGACCATTTGTGGTAGAGATAGTCTATTCAAACGGCGCATATCGCCTTATTACCAAGGAAGGCGCCCGACTTATGATGCCGATAAACAGTAAGTTCCTGAATAAGTACTACCATTAGCACATTTAGGATAACCTATGTATCGGGAAGTTCCTGGAAGAATACTACGTGTGGTATTCTTAGGGATAACCCAATTGCTATAAAAGTAATAAATAAGAAATCCACACTTGGACTCTGAATGTATTCAAAGTTGAAGCGTATTTTATTATTGATATCGAATTCACCAATTCTCATGAATTCTTTTGCTGAGATGAGATTCGATCTTTTTTTTTGATAGATCAATCTTTTCTCACAAAATCCCACACTGATCAAATCAATTGACGGTGAGCCCACCAAAATTTTTATCCACCAATTCTTGACAATTTTCAAAACTTGACGTGTTAAGTCCTAATCACTTAACATCAAAATCCTCCATCGAGTGGTTAGTACAAGTCAGTATTCCTACTGTTATCTGCATTCCACTCTAATTGCTTTCAGGTCAAACCTATAAAAGTTAGGGCCAAAGCCAGATTCCCCTCTCGATTCCTTCCACGAACGAGAGGTCCACTTTCAAATTGAGCGATCAAACCTATAAAAGTTAGGATTGCCTCCAACCTCACTTGATCAAACCTGCAGATAGTTAGGACCAAGATCGAGTCATCTCTTTTGATAAACGAAAGACTTCCATCTTTTCCTTTTCAGCCAAACCTATAAAAGTTAGGATCAAAATCGGAATTTCACCTCAATAAATAAGAAATTCTTTTCTTGAATCAAACAACCAATCCTATAAAAGTTAGGGTTACTTGAATCTTTCCGATTCTCGGAGTGGAGATCCCACTCCTAGTTTTACCTTTCCGGATTCTGGGGGTGGAGATCCCACCTCGAGTCTCCTTTCCAACTGAAGATAGAATATAAAATTCTTCCTCTTCAGTGTTGGGAGATAGAATATAAAATTCATCCTCTCTCATTTTTGGGTTCGTCTTTATCCTAAACAAAACCTGGGGACAGAATATAAAATTCTTCCTCTCCAGCATCAGGTTTGTCTTTGCCCTGAGAAAAGACACAGTTCTCAACTTCAAATCCGTGCACTTCATGCATGGGGAATTTTATCTCGACTCCTAAATAGAGATAAGTCTACGCCTAACACGCGTTGCCGGTTTAGTCTTTCACCAAGTGAAAAAGACACCAGAATACGAGTCTGGGGAATTTTATCCCGAATCCTAAGTAGGGATGAGTCGGCGCTTAATACGCGTTGCCGGGTGCCATATTCCCGTAAGAAATGGTGAAATCTATGTATTCAAAAGCATAACGCCAAGTCTAAGAAGAATTAACTCTCTTAGCACAACGTTACATGTGAAACGGGTTCTAATAATTCACATGCTAGCCCGATTCAAACGGTAATCGGTAAAGGCATATCAAATCCGTTGAAAGCTGGGGGTTTGCCAAAAATCCTAAGTCAGCGCCTAACACGCGTTGCCGGATGTCATATTTCCGTAAGAAATGGTGAAGTCTATGTATTCAAAGTCATAGCATAAAGTCTAGGTGAATTAATTCTCTTGGCACAACGTTACATGCGGAACGGACCAAAGCAATCTGCATGGTAGTCCGACTCAAACGGTAGTTGGTAAAGGCTCATCAAACCCGTTGAAGGCTAAGGGTTTGCCAAAAATCCTACGAGTATTATGGTTGATTATTCCAGACGGAGTAAGACATCATAATAAAAGAGACATAATGAACGAAAAAGAAATATCTTCTATTAATAAAAATTGAGTTTGCAGGTACAAGAGTTATGATCAATCTACATGAAGTTTGTGACTACGGATTTGCTGCTCAAGTCTAGTTAACTCCTCTGTATAAGTTCGCTCAAGCTCGCACTGCAATTCAACCTTGAAGGATTCCTCGGTAAGGGATAACGTTTTCGCAGCTTCTTCTTTGATCTTGACTAACTTCTGTTCCGAGAGCCCCAACTTCCCGGATATCACGACCTGTGAGCGCTCCAAATCAGCCTTCGTCTTCTCCAAGATAACTAGGGCCTCCTCCTCTGCCTTGAGCTCCTCTTTGAGTCTCTCTATCTTAGCCTCACCTAACGTAATAGAGGATTTGAGTTGACACAAAGATGTTTGTTTCTCAGCAAGGGCGGCTTTCATCTGATCCACCCGACTTTATTGCGCTTGAATCTCAAGCCCAGCGGAGGCTCGAATGTCGTGCCATACTTGTAAACAAGATTCCATCTGGGCGGCTATGTACGTTGAAGTACCAGCAGTCTTCAACTCTTGTAACCGTTGGAACTCGCACTCTAGCCGGTCCAAGTCGCCAGCTATAGCTTGCGCCAGATCCAGAGAGCCCGCTTTCTCTATAGCATTTATTTTGGCGGAAAGCGTTGGTCTAAATTGATGGAAGGAAAGTCCACGGACGAGAAGCATATCAATCATCGCATTCACAAAGAAGAAGAGAGAGTCAATTTCTATGCAAAGCAGAGCTTGATCTGGGTCATCATCAGATAGCAGAGCCTTGACCATATCATTGAGCCGAGAAGACGACCCTACGAGGACAGAGAGGGGGTGCATTATGCAATATGATATGATAAAAGTCGAATTCATAAGCGGGAAATTACAAGGGCTTACCGATGAAAGATGGACGCTCCCTCTCAGGCGACTGAGTAGCTGAGCGGGTCCTCGGGAGGCGTGATCTCCTCGTCGACATAACTAATCTGCAATGAGGACCAACAATTCAATTATTCAGAGAAATTGGGAAGTATAACATTAAAAAGGGAAATTGTGAATCTTTAACTGAAATTCTACAAAATGGAATTTTCTAGTTAAAGGTCCAATTAAACCTATACGACATTCTCAATTCAAGTTAAAGTGAGAAGAAAATCAAATATACAAGTCAAGCAAAATCTCGGCTACACTCAAATATAAGTTAAGGGGCTTGAATCTCACTCTCGACCAAATGCAAATCAAGAAGGTCAGTTTTATTCAAAAAAAAAGTCAAGTGTAAAACAACAACTGCGGCTTTGGTACTTTCCTCAAGAATTCGACACTGGTTCATGCTCTCAAGTGTCTTAAGATCAGTTCACATTCATTATCGAACTCAAGACTCAAGCTTCGCGTACACGATCAATTCATTCCCACCAACAGTCGCTCGAATTTCACATGGCCCTCATTAATAAGAAAAGTTATCTTGAAGATTCTGCTGGAAACTATTCATAGTAAAATTAAGTGCGACAAAAGATGGTTCTCTGATCTTTGAACAAGGATGGCATGATTTTATATTGGGTCATTCAAGGTCTTTGGGAGAAATTGTTGTATTTAAGCATACCGGTATACATCAATTCACTGTCCAAATTTATGGCACTAGTGGCTCTGAGAGATTTCAGTTCATAGGAGAAGGAAATAGCAACACACGAAAAAGGAAAGAGAGCAAGAATGAAGCTCCCCCTAATATATCACCTCTAAGTAAAGCTAAGACAAACTGCGAAGCTCCAGAGAGAAATCATCATGCTTCTGATCAAGATGCTGGCAGAAAGTCTCCCATAGTCTTGTCTGAGAATGATAAAGTTATATAAAAAAAAGAACTTACTAAAGATGGATCTAACAGATGGGTAAAAAAAAATCAGCAAAAATAACACCGAAAATAGAAAGAAAAAAAATCTGAGTGTGGATAGAAGGACAACCAGGAGGTGCTTGTATGCTACTGAGAGAAAATCGTCGAATGTGCACAAGGAGGCAGAATGTGAGCAAGTGATATTCAAAATACCTCCAGGGTTCTTTTAGTCTCATAAAGCATCGAATGAAAGGAAAATGTCTATGAATAAGCAAACAATGCAAGCAGAATGCAGCAAGGATGTGAAAGAAGATTTGAGTTAAAAAAAAAAAACTGGTCTGTGATAAATACGAGTTCTTGAGATACAAAGGCAAATGATAAAAAATTTGGCTGATCAGTGTCGTAGCCACAAAAGACCCAAGCTTGTTTCCAGATGACCCAGAATTGTTTCAACGTTGGATAATAATAATGAGAGTGAGATTAGAACCGAGATTGACGACTGGGCAATAGCCACACCTCTTTTCTCTAATCCAGTGCGGAATTCTCACAAGAGCATAATGTATTTATGAAAAATCAAACAGAAATTAGGGTTGAAATCAAACTGGAATTGATGAAGACAGCTAAAAACTTGAATCATGAAGCTTACCTGGATTCGAAGAGGAATCGAGAAGAGGAGAGGCCCGTCGGAACAAGATCAACCGATGCTCAGACCCAAACCAAAAATCACGGAACCCTAGCTTGCCTTGCTTGTTGATTTGAGGAAGTTGAGGGGTTTGAAGGAGAGGGCATCTCCAATAATGATCTTAGTTTTTCCCTATATTTGAGGAGTAAATATTTCATCTTAGGAAATAGGGAGTCAAATAAGAAGCAAGTGCTCCAATAATGCTCCCCAAATGACTCCCTATATTATTATATTTTCTATTATTGTACTATGTTATTGTATTTTTTTGTCAATACTTTATGTATATTTGTGTTTGCAATCAATGATATGTCCAAAAAATAACAAAAATGATAACATATTATTGTATTGTAGATATAGGGAGTGTCTCTTCTTGTCTTTGATTTGAAATACCAAATCAAGGACCCTATATTTGGAATACCATATAGGGAGCTTGTTGGAGCCAAATATTCATCTCATACTCCTTAATTTTGAGCTAGGACATGGGATATGGAGTCTCTTGGAGTTGCTTTAAGGGATTTAAAGGGGCTTGAGAGAGTTTTGATCTTGTTTTAAACTCTTGAAGGAGAAGAAGTCTAAGGCTGTTTGTTTGCCTAAAAAAATTGGGAAATTAAAGAATAGGAAAACTTGTATTATGGTTGTTTGGTTGGCTAAAAAAAGAAGGAAATCAAATAATAGGGGATGAGATGAGATGAGTTGTCACCATATTATTGGATGATGTGAGTGACTTTTTAAGAATACTTGTTTTGAAGTTGTTTGGTTGGTTAAAAAAATAAGAAAATATATTATAAGAAACCTATTTCCTATAATAGTTTCTTTTTTGTATTTGGTTCATTCTTAAAAATAAGAAAATAGATGAGATAAGATGAGTTGTTTGTAAATTATTAGATGATGTGATCCACACTTAAGGAAATCAATTTCCTTATTTTTTGAGGAAATGTGTGGAAATAAAATGTTAATGAGATGAGATGAGTTGTCACCATATTATTGGATGATGTGGGTGATTTTTAAATATGAGATGAGATGAGTTGGATGATGTGACCCATTTCTTGTGTTTGGTTTATTTTTAAAAGTAAGAAAAGAGATGAGATGTGATGAGTTGTGAATAAAAATAATATTTTATTGATAAAAGTGTATGGATTTCCTTTTCTTGGGGTGAGTTTTAGAGATAGAAATGGATAAAAATAATATTTTAATGAAAAAAATACATGGATTTCCTTTTCTTGGTTTTTAGGAAACCAACCAAATAGCCCAAGAAGCCGAATTTGGGAGAAAGGAATTTTGAGGGGGAAGGAGTCTTCTTGAAGCTGAAGATTTTTTTTTTTTAGGGAGTAGAGTTCTGACACGATTATAAAGTGAAGAGGAAGAAGAAATGATGGGTCTTTTAACATTTAGGGGGTGTTTGTTTCAAATCCCAAAATTTATAGATATGGATTTCACCATAGAATTCGAAATCCATAAATTTTTTTGTGGGTTTTGGGATCTCTAAAATTTTGTTTGTTTCATCAATATTTTAGAATTTGGAATACTATAATTTATAATATTTTGTTTCTTTCATCAATATTTTGGGATTTGGAATACTATTATTTATAATATTTTGTTTGTTTCATCAATATTTTAGGATTTGAAATACTGTAATTTTTAATTTATACGTATAATTTATTTTATGATATTTATTATATATTATTATGCAATATCACATACTATATTATATAATAGTACAAAATATATATTATAATATTATATAATATTTTAATAACATATATTATTATATAATATATTATATTAAGCTGAAGCATATTTTATCCAATTATATTATAGTGTATTATATTAAACCAATATAATAATATACAACTAATATAACAATATTATTATATATATATTATGATATAATATAATATATTATACTACATGATACCTTTTAATATATATTATTGTAATTATCATGTAATATTAATATAATATAATATATATATATATATATATTATATATATATATTATATTATATATAAAATATATATAATATATATATATATATATATATATATAATATATATATATATACTATATATATATTATATAATATAATATTATATATTATATATATATTTATATACATATTTATAATATTATATATATATATATATATATATATATAGTATATATATATATATATATATATATAATATATATATATATATAACACTATATATAATTATAATATAAAATGCTACAGTAATTTACTACAGGCATGAACATTGATTCTTGTATATAATATATATATTATATATAATATATGGTTATATATATATATATATATATATATATATATATATATATATATATTATATAGCAAGACTCCTATCAACTTAAGTTGATGGTCCACCAAAGTTTGTAGCCACACATTTATTATTATAAATACTTTTTATAATACAAGGATCCCTAGGCAATATGAGTGGTAAAACTTTGGTGGACACACTATTCCTATCACTTAAGTTGACACAAGTTTTCACCTATATATATATATATATATATATATATATATATATATATATATATATATATAGTATAATACTATATATATATATTATATATATATATATATATATATATATATATAGAGAGAGAGAGAGAGAGAGAGAGATTAATGGGTATCCTTGTCATAGGAGGGGATTTCCTCCTATGACGCCTCTAAAATCACATGATTGAGCGACATTGTGGATGATCCGCTCCGTTGAACTTGATCTACATATTCTAAAACCCCAACACACCAAGTTTGGGGTGAACCCGTCGTCGTTTGACCCTTCATCCACTCGTATCAATTTTAACGGTTTTGAATGAATAGAACTTTTCACATGGCTCGATGGAGGGTCAAACGACGACGGATTCACCCCAAACTTGGTGTGTTGGGGTTTTAGAATATGTAGATTAAGTTCAACGGAGCGGATCATCCACAATGTCGTTCAATCATGTGATTTTAGAGGCGTCAAGGAGGAAATCCCCTCCTATCACAAGGATACCCATATAATGCTACAGTGATTTACTGCAGCATTTACTACAGCATGAGCAGTGATTCTTGGGTCCTCCTATGAGGAATAGATGTATTATATTAAATATTATATTATTATAATATTATATATAATATATTAATCTTATATTATATTAATTATTGTATAGTATAGCATGCAACTATAATATAATATAATATTTTTTTATAATTTGGGGGTTCAATATCCAACCTAAATCCTCTCTCAATATTAGGATTTCACAAATTCTAAAATATAATAGTTTTTTATAAATTGTGGATTCAATATCCCAAAATTGGTTTTGAAACAAACATGGTTTATAGAACTCTAAAACCCAAAAATATATTATTTCTTTGAAACATTATCCTAAAAAAAAGTTGAAACATAAGAGAGGATCTCACAAATCCTAAAAATATATTATTTTTTTATAATTTAGGGATTCAATATCCCAAATTTAATTTTGAAACAAACAAAGTTTATAGAATACCAAAACTCAAAAAAAAACACTTTTTACATCCCAAAACTTGAAATCCACCCTATATAAAAAAAAAGCGAAACAAACACCCCCTTAGCAACAAAAAATAAATAAATTAAAAAAAAAGTATTAGTTACCTTCTGACCCGCACTGATGCGAGACAACATTTGCTGACCCGCTCGAGTGCGGGACAGCTTGTTGCCAACCTGCTGGAACTTGGGACAACTTGTTGCCGACCCGCTGGAGGGTGGCACTAGAGGCACACCTTGTGCCACACCTTGGGGCACACCCCTCTCTCAGCTATAGTGCAGGGGGCCCATTTGAGATTTATTTAAAAATCTCAAGTGGGTCCCCTGTAGTGTAGTTGAGAGAGGGAGTTGTGCCCCAAGGTGTGGCACAAGGTGTGCCTCTAGTGTTTTCCCCCGCTGGAACTTGGGACAGCTTGTTGCCGACCCGCTGTAGCTTGGGACAGTACATGCTGACTTGTTGCCGACCCGCTGGACCTGGGGACAGCTTGTTGCCGACCCGCTTAAGCTTGGGACAGCACATGCTGACTTGTTTGAGTACGGAACAGCTTGTTGCTGACTCGCTCACAGAATTGACCCACGATCGATTGTGTTGAGGAGTATATGAGTATAAACTGGTCCCCCTTCGATCGATACGAGACCCTAAGGTTAACGCCGGTCAACGCGTAGCCCTAGGTCAACGCCGGTCAACGCGTAGTCCTAGGTCAACACCAGTCAACGCGTTGCGATGAGAGTCAACGTTAATCGATACAAAATCCTAAGGTCAACACCGGTCAACGCGTAGTCCTAGGATTTTAGTTCAAGTTCTTAATTTCCCTTTTATATTTCGTGTATTCATATTTTAGATTGTATCTGACTTGCTGCTTTTCATCGCAGGTTTTCGATGCCTCCACGTCGATCTCGACCTCCTAGGAGTCGATCCCGTTCGCAGCCTAGCGAGGAAGAAGTTCCCGCAGCATCCTCCCCTCCAGCGGCTTCCTTTTACGGGGGTGAGAATCTTTATTTCTGTATCCCTGATTGATCCCTTCGCGGGTCATTAAGGAAGAACCGACACCCTACTTCGCGAGGGTTGAGGTTTCAGGACATTGGTGGTTCCGTACACCCTCGTTTGGTCCCTTCGCGGGTCATTCGAGAAGGGTCGACACCCTCCTTCGCGGGGGTTAAGGTTTCGGACTTGTTTTGCTTAGCCATTTCAAGTCTTCTTGTATATTAGGGCGATCTTGTGTCGTCTTACACCTTGTAGGTCGGTGTATGTTACCACGTTATTTACGTGATGATGCATACCGTTCTTCCAGTGTAGGACACTCAAAATCGTCTCTCCAATCACCCTGTGAATGATCTTGTCTCGCTTTTTTATGAGATGGATTTTCTGACTCTATCCTTGTCTTGTTGCAGTCGAGTTCCCCGCGGGCAGCCTCCCTCATCATGCCCCTACTGGTTGTAGCGGAGAAGTCTTTTCTTCGATTTCTATTAGGCAGGCCATCGGTCCACTCCCTCAGTTCGACAGAGACCGCTCCGACGAATCCTGTCGTTTGATACGAGATGGAGGGCGCCATTGCTTACGCCAGCTGATTA